TTCTTTCTTTCTTTCTTTCTTTCTTTCTTTCTTTCTTTCTTTCTTTCCTTTCTCTCTCTCTCTCTGCATTTAAACTCTCTGTACAAAAAAAAAAAAATTGGAGTGAAATTCCTTATAGGTATTTTGTAGATGTGTCCTTGGAAAATATTGTTCTTTTAAATTTAATTGAAATTGCTGCCTGCATTTCTGAGAAAACTGGTTTTCTAAGGGAAAAAATAACAGTTTTAGTCAGTGTTTTGAGAAACTTTTGTTTTATTATTTTTGTTTATTTATTTATTTGTTGTTGTAGCACTGAGTGGCCTGGAACTCACCTGCCTTTTGTCTCCTTAATACACATCTGTTTTAAAGATTTATTTTTACTTTTAATTATGTGCACGTATGTGTGTGTGCCTGTGTGTATATTGTATGGTATGTGCATTTGAGCACAGTTACCCATGGAATTCAGAAGAGGGTATTTGATCCCTGGGATTGTAGACAATTTTAAGATTCCCAAGATGGGTGCTAGGAATGGAATTAGGTCCTCTGGAAAAACAGTTCATCTGAACTGAACTGTTACCACTGAATGGTCTTCTCTCCAGCCCCAATTTTAGTCAAGGTTTTTCCTGAAAAGATTAAGTTATGAATGAAAAACTAATGTCCTAAATTTTTATCTTTTTTTTTTTTCTGGACTCTTCATGGTTTAAGGACAAGCTCGATGAAAGCCTATAACATTTAGGGTTCTGAGCCTAGGATGAGCAGTAGGAGACACAGGAAAGGTTCATATAACTTAAAATTAAGATTTTGAGGACCTTGGGAAGGCATTGAAGTGTTTACTCTGCAGAGGTGAAATGGCACATCAAGATACATTTTGTGTAGTACTTCGTGCTTAACTTCCTTGTTGTCAGTACCAAATTATCATATTCTAAGTACTTACAGGGTTTCTGTGTATAGTTCTGGCTGTCCTGGAGCTCACTATGTTGACCAAGTTGGCTAGTTCCAGGACTTGCAGAGCTATGTAGTGAAAACCTGTCTTGGAAAAACAAGAAAGAAAGGAAAAAGAAGGAAGGAAGGAGAAAAGAAATTAACAGCACTATAAATATTTTTTTTTTAATTGAAAGTTTTGATGTGTATCCCTAACAGAGTGGAACTTGAAATCCTCCAGCCCCAGCCTCTCAGGTGCTAGAATTATAGGCAGGAGCCACTTTGTCCAGCTTCCTTCATCTTCATTGTGTCTGTAGCATCTGTAATATAATGTCTGTAAAGAAAATTGGACCAGAGAGGAAACATCTTATGCTTATTCCTCATAAACTTTGAGAAACCTCTTATTAGCAATAATACAAATGATTACTTCAGTGTTCTGAAGCCAAAGTCTCTGGTTTTGTTTTTATGTTGTTTGTGTGTGTGTGTGTGTGTGTGTGTGTGTGTGTGTATGTGGTTTGTGTGTACATGCACATGTGTGCATGTTGAGGCCAGTTGCTCTCAGTCTTGTTTATTTGAGATGGTTTTTCTCACTGAACCTGGAGGTTCCCTGCCTCCCAGCCCTGAGTGTCAGCATCAGAGGACTGGCTTTATTCGGGTGCTGGGGGTGGAACTCAGGACCTTTACTTGGCTAGCAAGTGTGTTACTGATGGACTCACCTTCCTAGGCCCTGGATATTGGTTTGATTGATTTTTTTAATTATTATTATTATTTACTGGCTTTTCACTTGCTATTGAGAAATATTTACACAACCTTAATTATGGATCAGTCTGTAAGATTGAAAATTTTCTGTTGGTATTCTACAGATAATCCATTTAAGGACAGACTGAATAATTAAAATTTATTGCTTTTAGAATTGCAGAGCTTTAATAAAAATGTACATTATCTTGAAATGATTTTGTTTTGTTTCTTCAAGCTAATAAGCACAAATGGGTACCACTCCACTTAGATGATGTGAGACCAGACAGCCAGGAAAGACCTGGGTCCCGGAACAGCTCTAGATGTCAACCTGAAGCAAATAAACCAGCTCACAGTAATAGGAAAAGTGATTCACGAAGTAAGTGTCATTTCAAGAGCATCAGGAATTTGAACGAACATAGCTTTAGTGCTTATCATTGGAATTGTATAGAGTAAGCTACAGATACATCTCTTTAACTCTGCATATCTTCAGAAGACATGTTTAAAAATAGTGTAAGTATGGCACTTAACAACAAGGCTGAATGTTAACACAGTGTAACTATCTATAACCTTATGTCCAGGTTTGGTTTTGTTTTAATTTTTTATCTTTCTTTTTTTTTCTTTTTTTTTTCAAGACAGGGTTTCTCTGTATAACAGCCCTGGCTGGCCTGGAACTTACTGTGTAGAATGATTTCATAGCCTCAAATTCAGAGAGATCCACCTGCCTCTGCCTCCCATATGCTGGGCTTCAAGGCAAGCCGCCGCCACCACCTTGTTTAACTTTATATCTTGTTTTGTATTTTGAAACAGGATCTCTCTATTTAGCTGGGCCTAGTCAGGCACTTATGTACCTAACCTTAGATTTTTGATCTTTCTGCCTCAGCCTCCCAAGTGCTAGGATTACAGAGAGATGCCATCTCTCTGGTTTTCTAGTCTTTGTTACAGTTCTCTGTCTCCTCATCTGGTCTGGCATTACACATTGCTTTTGTTGTTTTTCTCTTTCATCTTTGTGTTGCAGGATATTTGATCCCATTTTGAACTTCAAAATTGTGAACTGTAAAAACCCTGTCTGTTTGGTGTGGTTGAGCCTTTAATCCAAGAACTTTCTGTTGTAAACCAGTGATTATGGTATGGTTCACCCAGCCCTAGCACACACCTTTAATCCAAGAGCTTTCCATACACAAGATTTAATAAAGTTAATCTACTAGCTCAGAGAGGCAGAGAAAGTAACCAACTAACCTTCCTTCTCAGCTCAGGTCTGGATGGAAAAAAATCCGAAAGGCTCACTAGCTCAGCTGACAGCCCGGGAGCCAAAGGCCAAAGGCTTGCTAGGTCAAAGCCCAAAAAGCCAGGGAGCTGAGGTACTGAAGCCTAAGCTAAAGCCAGAGCTTGAGCTAGTAGCCCTTTCTTCTTTTCCAAGCTGAAATGATGATGTGCACAATGGATATTATATAAGATAGGTTTATTGGATGGAGAGAGAGAGATGATGGGGGAGAGGAGGAGGCGCCCTGACAGAGAAAGGGGAGAAATCAGGAGAGAGCAATGAGCACAAGAGCAAGAGAGAGAGGGGTAAGGGACAGGGGTCTATTTATAGCTTCTGCACAGCTGAACTGTGCCTGCCAGGTACTTCTACCTGGTGGGCAATGCATGATGACATCATAGGTTACTAAGCAACCCAAAAGCAGGCTGCCTAAATACTAACATTCCTCTCTTTCTATAATTAAAAAATGAGGAGCTTGGGCTGCTTCTCATGTAAGGCAAGGTAAAGTATATAAATGTAGGTTCATTGGAAACAGCTCTTGGTTGCCATGCAAGGGTGAGAGAGAGTGTGTGTGTGTAATATGTTGTATTAGGCCATTAATATTTACTATTGATATATCTTTTAATAAAGCTATGGTTAATCCTAAACAGCTGAATAACCAAATCACCACACAGAGACTAGGATTTATTTAATTAACCTAGAACACAATGCTGGGCAATAGTTACTCAATCCTAAACCTCCAACCCTGCATAGTTTCTACCATTCAGATTTACCCATTATACTTGCTTTTAGTGATATCTTAGGTCATCTTAGGTCTGGTTCATTTCTCCACGTTGTTCCAATTTCTCTCCTCCAGCTTTTCCTCTTCCAGCTTCTGCTCCTCCTCTCCTCTCTTCTCCCTCCTACTCCTTCCTCTCCTCTTGCTTCCTTCCTCTCCTCCCACTCTGAACCAGGATGTCTCACCCCATCCTCTCCATTGCTCCACTTTGTGGCTGGTTGTTTTAACTGACAATTTAGAGAACAAATGGTGGCATGTTTACACAAATTTGAGACAGGTGATGCTTATCACAAAGCAATGACCAGATTGAAACCAGATAGGGAGAGAAATCAGCATTTGAATGAACAAGGGTTAAGGTGTATACATTCCAAAAGAACATTATACCAACAGTAATAGCATCAAAATGTACAGATTACGTGGTGAGGAGGAGGGGAAGCCCCTGCTCTGAAAAGTTCAGGGTAGAGGGTGGAGTTTGCCAGCTATGCATTGCAGCAGATAGGATCTGAGGAATGCTGGGAGAACCTGAAGCACACCATTCCAGCCTTTTGTTTGAAAATTCTTTGTTTGAATGCTAATTGGATACTAAAAATACTATTCTTTACCAAAGCCCTAGAAGGAAGAAGCCACGCCCCAAAGCTGAGGTGGGAGCACAACCCAAACTTCCCTTTCTGGCTGGTGGCTTACAGGACAATACAGATTTTGTGTTTTGTTTGTTTGTTTATTGTAGTTTGTTTGTTGTTGTTTTAAACAGGCCCTAGACTCCAAGAGTGTTGGAGAGAAGATAGTTTAAGGTCTTTTGTTTCTTTTTGTTAATTTCAAAAGACTGGGTCTCATAGCACAGGCTGGCCCTGAACTTTCTGTGTTGAAGAGGATGACCTTGACTTTCTGATCCTCAACCCCCACCCCACACCCCCACACCCCTAGCTTCCCAAGTGCTGAGATTACAGGCATGCCCCACAGTTTGAAATTGGGTGCCTGCCAGCCTTTTGTTAATAATAAGTAAATAACGGGTGGAGATTCTCTTCTAGCTACTTCCTGCTGACACCTTGGGCGCTGTAGGGAGGTCAAAATGCTGAAATACTGGCCAAGTCCAGGAAGAACAGGCTGTTTGTTGCTGTCCAGAGTCTGTAAGAACATCCATGGCTGGGAGGGAAAGTGCAGGTCTGGCTTGATGCAATCTGTATAGCTGCTTTGGTGTTGTGGATGTAGGAAACACCGGGGTCTGGCAGTATACTGGGACATATAAAGAGGCAGATGGCAAAGTTAAGTAGGTTATGGAGAAAATTTCTTTAGGTGTAAGTTTAAAACTTTGGGAGAGCAAACAGAGGTGGAAGAAGAGACTTAAACATGGGAACCTCCATTTACCCAATCATTGGCAGTAATTAAAAAGGTTTTGCTTTGGATCTGTCATCTAAGGAAATTGAGGCCACATTTGGTTGCAGAGGTGTGTAAGCTTAGAGGCCCTTAAAGCAGGCGCTAGGTGTAGAAATCTGAAATTCTCCAGAAGACATCCCAGAGGAGAATCTACGAATGGACTATTCCCATTGGGCAGCTAAGAGTCAGTGACCTATCAAGGCATCCTAAGAGCAAGGTTTGACTCAGTGAGTAGATTAGTATGGTAGTCTATTCCAACAGCTCGACAGCATTGGCCAGAGAGCAAGGGCACAGTTGCTGTAGCAGACACAGTTTACCTAGCTAGGATTTTGTAGACGTGAGAGAAGGGGAGGGAGCGAAACCATGCTGGTGAAAGAAATCTTTTTCTCCCAAGGGAGAAAAAGGTTTTAAATAAAGGGTTTGGATGTAGTTCAGCAAGAGTGGTAGGAAGCATTTACCCCAACCAGAAGTGAAGATTCACCAGTTAGCCTGAGTTGGATGTAGGAACGTAGCAATTGAGTAGCCAAGAAAGGGGAGAGTCCCAAAACCAAGGAAAGGGGAAGAATCCCATTCTCTGAGATCAGGAGATCAACTGACCTGAGAGGTGGATTCAGGTGGATTTCCTGCAGCTTACAAGAATTACTTTTAAGTTTTACAAAGGAGATGAAAACTTTAGACATGTTAGCATACAATTGTAATTTTCAGTGAAATGTACATTATGGAAAAAGGCAGTAGACATACACGTTTGTGTTAACAGCATAAACATTCTTTAAGGTGAGCTCTGATGTTAGGATTGTGCGGCAGGAGCTATATGGCAGGTTCATAAATCACGCCACTTGAGTGGTTCCATGTGGGAGGTTTTATTGGGGGAAGGGGTCTCACAGAGACCATCTCTAGGTAAGGTAGGAGAGAGAGAAAGGATGAGTCCTCTCACGTGACCCAGCACATGTGCAGGTGTTTGCTGGTGGTAGCATGTGGCCTCACAGATGCCTTATGTCCCATTTGTCAGGTCCCCCGGGGGCTGGCTGTAGAGATGCCTGCTTATGAATCCCAACACAGGCTGTGTTAAATACCCCTCAACTCAAAGTCCTTCCTCCTGTTTAATCCCTGACAGCTAGTTTCTTGCTCAGCATCTTGACCTAGGATTGACTTATTAAGTCCTGTGTATGGAAAGCTCTTGGATTAAAGATTTGTGCTAGGGCTCAACCACACCAAAGAAAGCGGGGTTTTACAGTTCACAATTTTGGGGTTCACAATGGGATCAAATATTCTGCAACATCTCCATCATTGTCTTTAATAGTTCTTTTGCTTTGTCTTTCCTGACATTGATTTTTTTTTTAAGATAATATGTGATGATGAATTATGGAATTAGTTAGGGACCTTTTCTAATACTAGCCCTAGTTCCCAAATAATTGACAGAGACCTATTAAATTTATCCACCAAGCTTAAAGCTCTATACCTGGGCAGATAGCCACCTATTTTAACCCAGTTATGCTAGTCTGGCTGCCTCTCAGCCATGTTGCCTTTTACTTACCATCTCAGTCTTACCTTGACCTTCTGCTGCAACTCTCTGTCTTCATGGGGAACTCCTGCTTGTCCTCCTCCTGGCCACTTCACTAGGGTAGGAAGTGCATCCTTCCTATTCCTCTGCCAGTCATTGGCTCTCCAGCATTGTATACACAACATTCATACAGTTGATTCTTCATAGAAATGATAATGCCCACATTTACAACCAGATCTGGGGGTGGGGAGCATAGAAAACAGTATCTGAATACATGGAACACAAGACACCCCCCAACATATTACTGTGGTTTTTGGAACAGGGGTTCTCTGTGTAGCTCATTCTGTCTGGAACTGATTATAGTCCAGGCTGGCCTTGAATTCAGGGATTGGTCAGCTTCTGCCTCCAGTTAAAGTGCTGGAATAAGGTAAAGGAATTATTTTAAACAGATACACTTTACTTTGGGTTTTGTTTTGGGTCGTGTTTACTTATGATTGATTTTGAATTACTAATTTTTACTAGGAATACCTTATTTTTCTTTTTAATTTTTTTTTTCTTTAAGGCAGAGTCTCTGTATAGACCAGAGATCCACCTTCCTCTTCTATTTCCCAGTTGTTGGGAATAAAAATGTGCACCACAGTGCCTGGCATCTACATACTTTCTAAAATGACATTTATGTTTAAATCACATCAGACTTTTTATGAGTTCATTATGGTATGGTATAAAATAAGCCCTATGTTGGTTTAAGGAAAGAGTATTTGGTTTATCTATTTTAGATATGATATCACTGGGTATTGTTGCCCAGACTGGCCTAGAACTCAAAATCCTCCTACTTCAGCCTTTCAATAGCTAGAATTGTAAATGTGTGCAACCATTTTTTAGCAAGAATATTTTAGGGTCTGGAGAGATAATTCAGTAGTTAAAATGCTTATTGCTCCTGAAGAACACCAGTCCCAGCACCCACATAGCAGCACACACCCACCTGTAACCAGTTCCAAGGATCCAGGGGGCCTCTTCTAGCATCTGTGGGCTCTTCTACACATGTGGTAGACATAAATCCACGCATAAACAAACACATATATTACAAAGAAATGTAAGTTGTCATTGAGGATAGAGTTATAGGGCATCGCTCTCAGTAAGGAGATAATGTTAGATGGCGTTACTGAGGAATGAATAGATGCTATGGGGGCTGCCTAATGAGCAGAAGTGATGTGTGATGTGAAACATCTGAATAGCACACAGGGTAGTTACATATCACCCTCCTCTAACCAGAATCAAAAAGATGAGGTTGAAAATCTTCGTTCTTGATGCGGGCAGTGGTGGTCCATTCCCTTAATCCCAGCAGCACTCAGGAAGTAGAGGCAGACAGATCTCTTGAGTTTGAGGCAAGCATCTGGTCTACAGAGTTTCAGGATAGCCAAAGAGGAAGCCCTATCTCAAAAAAAGCAAGAACAAAAAGAAAAGGAAATTCTTGTTGCTAATATTTGTTTACATAAATATTGGATTTCTCCAAATTAGTTTTTTTTTTTTTATTCTGGTAATTTCTTTTTAAAAATTTTTAAAAATTCCTTATTAATTACACTTTATTCACTTTGTATCCCCCCTGTGGTTTCCTCCCCCCTCTGCACACATGCCCCTCCCCAAGTCCACTGATAGGGGAGGTCTTTTCCTTCCTTCTGATTCTAGTCAATTAGGTTTCATCAGGAGTGGCTGCATTGTCTTCCTCTGTGGCCTGGTAATGCTGCTCCCCCCTCAGGGGGAGGTGATCAAAGAGCAGGCCAATCAGTTCATGTCAGAGACAGTCCCTGTTCCTATTACTATGGAACCCACTTGGATACTGAACTGCCATGGGCCACATCTCTCCAAATTAGTTTTTAAAGTTGATATTTTCATTGTCACTAACAGCATACTATGTCCTGTCTGATCTTCTGTCATGATCAGAATTTTAGCTCATAGCATAGCTTGTTGTGGAGTGCTAGGTAAGCTATCATGCAAAATGCTCTATATTACCAAAAGAAAAAAACAAAATTGATATCACAGGACTTTAAAATGTCTATCAGACTGGAGACATGACTTGTTCCCCAGGGTCAATCAGATGGAGCATCATTCTTTAAATATATTTATTATGCATACACTATTCTGCTTGCATGCCAGAAGGGAGCACCGAATTTCACTATAGATGGTTATGAGCCACTATGTGGTTGCTGGGAATTGAACTCAGGATCTTTGGAAGAACAGCCAATGCTCTTAATCTCTGAGCCATCTCCCTAGCCCCGGATCATATTTTATGTTCATTGACTACTTGTATGTCCTTGTTTTGCCTGTTAGCAGTTTTTTCATTCATGTTAAATATTTTATGTTTGCATGAGAGAGACTGTGGTAGAGTGTGTGTTATACAGTTCTTGTTCTTCATGTGTCTTATTTATCTGGATTTTTAAAGTGTGTTTTCAGTTTCTCTTTAAAACACATGCCTTCTATTTCCATGTTTTTTGGAAATTGTATTTTTAGAGGAGTTTTACATGTAAATTCAATAGCCATGGGGCATTGTGAATATGCATGTAGCAGCACATTCTTAGCAGAGGACCTCTTTGTCTTTCTAGTGTATTATTTACTTACTATAGAATGTTGTTTATATGGCCAGTACATCCCTTACCCCCACCCACTTTTTATGACAAAGATATTAACAGTCACCTTGGATTTCTTTCTGTGTTTGAAGACAGTCCAACCACTACTCTCAACTAGTTAGTATAGAAGTGAGAGAGGGTGTGGTGGCTCCTGCCTATTAATCCCAGCACTCCGGAAAGTTTAGGCAAGAAGATCTAAGAGTTCAAGGCCAGCCTGGGCTACCAAGTTAGAGTCTATTTCAAAAACCTCCAAAGGGGAGCCAGGCCTGGTGTTTAATGCCTGCCTTGAATCCCATCACTTGAGAGGTAACCACAGACATATTTCTGAATTCAGTGCCAGCCCCAGCTACATAGTGATACCTTCTCTGAAAAAAACTATCCAAAGAAAGGTGGGTAGGGTATTAACATAATCAAAATACATTGTATACACATATGAAATTATCAAAAAATAAAAGATACCAAAGAGAAAAAATGGGGGAGGGTAGTTACTATGTTTTCATAAAAATAATTGTATTATTTTAATCACAAATTTGAATGTATTAAATATTTTTATTTTAAGGTTGGAGACGGGATAGAGAAAAGAGAGATGATCAAGATGAAGTATCCAGTGTGAGAAGTGAGGGTGGTACCATCCGAGGTTCCGCTAGAGGCCGGGGAAGAGGCCGTGGCCGGGGAAGAGGCCGAGGTCGAGGAAACCCTAGATGTATGACACAAGATTCTTTTTTTCCTTTGTTAAATTAGATAAGCTTTGAAAAAAAAAAAAGTTAACAAATGTCCTCATTTTTCATATTACCCTGTCTTATGTTAATTTTTTTACATGTTAATTTTTTTAGTTATATGTGTGTTACGTGTGTGTTCAGGACAGTGTGCTATGCTGTGCATGTGGAAATCAGAGGACAAATTGCAGAAGCTGGTTTTTTCTACCATGTGTGACCTGAGGACTGTACTCAGGATGTTAGGCTTGGTGACCTGCTAAGCCATCTCACTGACCTTTCATGATGTTTCAGCTAATTATTTTAGTTTGGCTGTAAATTCAGTTTTGTGTTTGAAGTTCTTTATTTTGGATTTCTCTTCATGATTACTGCTTGCTTTTTTTTTTTTTTTTTTTTTTTAACTGTGGTCACCTTTCTCTTACTTTGTGTCTAGTGAACTTTGATTATTCATATGGTTATCGAGAGCCAGGGGAAAGGACTGATCAGCCGTTTCCCACAGAACTTAACACCAGCATGATGTATTACTATGATGATGGCACAGGTGTGCAGGTGTATCCTGTGGAAGAAACACTGCTTAAAGAGTACATTAAGCGCCAAATGTAAGTAGATGTCAGGCAAAGGCAGAGGATGGTATAGTCTATTTCTGTAGCAAATTTATGTCTATTTTATCACATTTTCAAAGCTGAAATAGTAAAAATTAGAGAATGAAAATGTTGTTTTGATTTTTTTTCTAGGAGAATGACAAAATAGGTATTTACAAATTTTTGTCTTTGTTCATGTTCCTGTCATTCTCCTGTAAGACTATAAAACTTCTGCATATTATTTTAAATTAAGGAAAATGTTTCTTATTTGCAAATAGACGTTTAAATGAAAATTTGTAAATGAGCTGGTGTGATGGTGCATACCTGTACCTCCAGCACTACACTAGGATGGCTAAAGCAGGATTGCTGTGAGTTCAAAGCTAGCTGAAGATGCAGCACAAAACCCCATCTCAAAAAGCAAAACAGATATGAAAAATAACAATAATAAAAATACTTGTAAATGATTAAAATAGTGCCTGATGTTTCAAATTTTTTCATAGCAATTGATTGCTTCATTATATGTTTTTATCCTTTTTTTAGATTTTTTTTTTTTAAAGATAATATTTAGATAGTGTTCTGCCTGCATGTATACCAGAAGAGGGCACCAGATCTCACTGTAGATGGTTGTGAGCCACCATGTGGTTGCTGGGAATTGAACTCGGAACATCTGGAAGAGTATCCAGTGCTTTTAACCTCTGAGCCATCTCTCCGGCCCTTGTTTTATTTATTTATTTATTTATTTAAATCTTTTAAGCTCTTATTTTTTTCATGACATCTATTAAAGGAGACTGTTTTAGTTCAGACCTTACTTCTCCATAAGATCTACTAGCCCTTTTGCTTATTTGGATGGTATGTTTATATAATGAAAATTATAAAAAATATAAAACAAATCTTAAAAAAACAAGTGATTTGTGTAACCAATTGGGTAAAATCTTAATTATTTTTCTACTTTGCATAACAAAGAAAAATGGTTTATTTTTGAGAGGGCACAAGCATTTAAAAAAAACAACCATTTTTATAAAAAAAAAGAACCTGGATCCCTCTCTGTGACTAGGAATTAATTTTTTCATTGGTCATCTTGATGCCTGTGATTGCCTTGATGGTAGATGTGATGTACTCTCAGAGCAACTTCCTTATTTGTTCTTTGTTACAGTTGGCACAAGACTGAGAAAAGGGCCCCTTTTATGGCCAGAGAGTGCCTGTCACCTTCATGCCGTTATTCCTGTCTTCTTTTGTAACTCTTACTGCTAGCTCCCTCCTAGACCTGACAGTGAGCATGCAGCTCCATGCCAGGATAATCACCCTCTACTGTGCTCATGTCAGTGAGGCAGGAGCAGAGCTGCTCAGATAGGACATATAGGACACTGAGAAATTGGACATGACCCCTTTTGGTTGTTTCAGTGGCATGGTTTTTGGCAAACATCCATGGAGTGTCGCTTAGAGAAGCCGGTTCACACTCCTCAGGGAGGTGATGGATTAGGCTTTGCATTTGCCTTTAAGTTTTCATTGTACCCTGTACTAATTATTTTACTAGTACTACACTCTAACCAACTGAGCTAACTAGGTAGCTGAAAATTATATTTTAAAGTAAAATGCTTCACTCTTTCTAATGGGTAGTCTCAGTCACTTCAAATGAAAATTTTATATCAATAATTTTTTATGTAAGAACATTTAAATTTTAGATTTTTATTTTTCATTTTGACATAGGCACTCATGGAGCCCAGGCTTGCCCTGATTCCTCCTGCCTCACCACACTGGCTTAAACTTTAACTGTGATTATTTCTTTTTGGGACAATCTTCTCATTCAGATTTACAGATTAGTGTGTTTGTAACCCAACATAGACCATAGCTAATAGTGATTTGTGGATTTACTTAATAGTTGGGTCTTCACAGTGGATTACCTTTAAAGGGAAGCTTATTACTGATTTAGGAATCTGCATCTAAGTACAGTTTTAGCTTATGACTACATCAGATGTCTAGTGTATTGTCCCAGGTTTTGTAATATGAGACATTTCAAGATTTTGAGGCACCTGATTAGGCATTTGAGATACAATAAAAATGAGAATGTGTGACTTTAATTTTTTTCGCTGTTTAAGAATAAATGATTGAATAGTGTTGCTGAGTTCTCTATGAGAACTTTGAACTTTTGACTGATAAATATTACACAGGACAGAGTTAGATGTCTTTTTTGTTTTGTTTTGTTTAGGGTTTATTTGTGTAGTCCCTGCTGGCCTGGAGCTCTGTAGACCATGGAGATTCTACCTGCCTCAGCCACCTGAGCCTTGGGATTAAAGGTGCACGCCATCTCACATGCCTGGCTTTAGATCTCTTATGTTTTTAAAGTAGGGTAAATTTGCCCGTTTCTACAAGTGAAATGTTACTTCAAAGCACTTGTTGATATTTAGAAGTGCTTAGTTTTTCAAGGTTAGAATTTGCCCTAAGTAGTTCAAGGTTTACCTAGTAATGGAGTTTTACATTAAGAAATGTGAAATTGTGTGTTTTCTCCTGCCCTGCTGCCTCTTAAAACTTTTTCTGGAAGTGGAAAGCTGTAGGATTGCCAGCTGTACTGTCACCATGAGTTTATCTTTATCCCAACTGGGATCCTGTCTTTGTTTGTTTGTTTGTTTGTTTTGGTATTTTTGAGACAGGGTTTCTCTGTGTAGCCTTGGCTGTTCTGGACTCACTTTGTACACCAAGCTGGCCTTGAACTGCCTCTGCCTCCCTGAGTGCTCGGATTAAAGGCGTGCACCACCATGCCAGGCTTGTAATGAAATCTTTCTGGGAGTGACTCATTGGAAAGTTCAGGGCTGGGTTTTCATTTTCATTTACCCAGCATACATATATATATATATATATATATATATATATATATATATATATATATATATATATATATATATATATATATATATATATACACACATATATATGTATATATATATATACATATATATGTATATATGTATATATGTATATATATATATATAGTTAGATTTGTTGACTGGATTCCAAACAACATGAACAAATGGATTTTAAAATTAGCTTTTAATTTATTAGACTTGGGTGAAGTTATTCTATATAGTGTTAATTTTTAATCAATATTCTAAGTTTCTGTTTGTGTGTAAAAGAAATTATTAATTGAGCAGGGTTTTGCTTGGTCTCATTCATATTTGCCTGTTGCTTTGTTATATTCCATGTTATAGTTTGCCTAACCTGTAAGATAGTATTATTAACCAGAGAAGATTTTTTGGTAGCAGTTGTTGTACAGCTCTGTGTTGCCAAATGAGTAGATGAACTCATGTCCTCTCCTTTCGTAGTGAGTATTATTTCAGCATAGAGAATTTGGAGCGGGACTTCTTTCTTCGAAGAAAGATGGATGAACAGGGATTTCTGCCCATTTCCCTGATTGCTGGTTTTCACCGTGTGCAGGCTCTCACCACAAACCTTAATCTCATCTTGGAGGTAAATATTGTTGAAAAAAGAATTTAAGTTATATTCAGTTTTCAAAGAACCTAAAACTGCCCCAAAAATAGGGTTTAAAAAAAGGTGCACTGCTCGGTGGTAGAATATCTGGCCAGTGTACATGCAGTCCTGGGTTTAGCTATACGGATATCCAAAACAAGCTCGCCCAGGGGGTGGCAGAGACTATACATCAACCAAAGACCATGCACGGAGAGGACCTAGACCTCCTGCTCAGATGTAGCCCATAGACAGCTCAGTCTCCATGTGGGTTCTCTCATCACAATGTGCCAGCGTGTTTGCACTTGTGTACCCAAACACACACACACACTGTGATTTGAAAAAGTATGCTGATTATAGTGTTTGCTAAGAATCACTTTTGGGAAGTTCAAGACAAGCCTGAACTACAGAGCAAGACCCTGTCTCAGAATTAACCAACTGCCCCATCGTAAGGCTAAAGAAGTGTGCTAGGCATGGAGATTTAAAGCCATGCAGAAGACTGAGGCATTAGGAGTCCTTGAGTCCATAAGTTCTAGGCCACTTGTCATCTCAATAAAAATAATAAGATGTCCATCTGTTGTTCAGAGAACATCTCAACTTTTTTTAATTTTTATGAAACTTAAGTGTCTATTTTTGAAAACTTAAACCTTCTTTAGTATTCTTGGTTCTTTAGTCTTTCAGATTTCTCTAAAAAACGTGCATGCCTACTTATTAAATATTTTTTAAGATCTAACTTTTTGCATTTAGTTCTTTTTAGAATTTTTTTTTGCTTGTTTCTTTGACACAGGGTAGTAATCCTGCCACCCCACCCTCCTTAGTGTTCAAATTATAGGCATGTACCATCATGCCTATCTTCCATAATTTTTCAGGAGGCATGAATAGTGAATAATTCATTTCTTTTAAGTTTGATTTCCCCCTGTTCATTTTCTAAAGACAGAATATAAAGCCTTATATGTGGTACCACATAGTGATACTATAGGCTGTTTTCTACATAGGGAATAAATTCCACAGGGTCTGTAACACACAGTTTTTGTCTCGTCTTTGGTTAGTAATCAGTCAGTTGTTTTCTTGTTAACTATCAGTGTGGTTTCTTTTTTATACATTCATCTTGAGATAGGGTCTTGTATAGCCCAGATTTGCCTCTACCACCCGAGGGCTGAGATTGCAGGCATGCTTCACAATACAAGACTTTTCTTGGGTACTTGCGCTATAACCCAGGACATGTGTCATGTTAGGAAAGCGGCACTCTAGCAAGTGAGTCACAGCTTCAGCCTCCTTTATTCACTTAGTTTTCGACAGTGGGAGTTGAGGCATACAGGGTTTCGTATAGCCCAGCCTAGCCTCAAGCTCATCATGTAGAACGACTCTGAGAACTTTGGCTACCTTCATTTATCTCCCATCCCATTTTCTGAGATCTGCTTCTGTCTTTGGTTTTTGAGGCAGGGTCTTAGTATATATTATTAACTCTTGCTGACCCAGAGCCTTCTGTGTAGGCCAAGTTGGCACAATCTTGCCTCTGCTACCTGGAATTAGAGATGGGATTTTTAAATCCCATGGACTTATTTTTGTAGACACTAAGTATATTACAGTCTGATAAATTGAAGCTTTGTGGTTTTTATATTAGAAACACAAAGCACACAACTAAGACCTTTTGAATGTCACCTTAATAGCTTAAACTTTTTATTGTCAGGCACTTAAGGATAGCACAGAAGTAGAAATTGTGGATGAAAAAATGAGGAAAAAAATAGAACCAGAAAAATGGCCAATTCCAGGCCCTCCTCCACGAAATGTGCCTCAGACAGACTTCTCTCAGTTGATTGATTGTCCGGAGTTCATACCAGGCCAAGCCTTTGGCTCCCATACAGGTAACTGCTTGTCTTCTAGTGGACTGCGTGATGAGTTTGCCCATCCATCTGTAGTTTACTGAGCTTCATAGAAAAACTGAAGCTAATTAAATGGCTCCTGGTCCTCCCAATCCTATATATTAGCTCCCAGCTAAACTATAATTATGCAGAATCATAGGTAAAGTTCTGTTAATGTTTCTTCATCTTAGATTTTGTGTGTGTTTTGATTGGTCTTTTTCCCTATCTTTTTAAAATTCTACTAAATGACTACATGTTATGCCAATTTTCTCCATGTAAAACTGAAAGAGCCAAATTTTGTGCCCAGGGGTGGGCTAGCCTTCCTTTTCTTTTGTTACTAACTTTAACCTTGTCTTGAAAATATTAAGACAACCCATATTCTAAAAGAGAATTGGGATTTTCTTTAACCTGGTTCTTTTGAGTTTCCAAAAACTCAAAAGTGTGTTGAGAATTTTTTGTACTAAGAATTTTTGCCTGGTTCATTTCAAGATAATTGCTCTTGGGAAAAATATGTGTGCTTAACCTTTTTTCAGTCAGGGTGATGATCTACTGATGCTCTTGGATGTCATATGATCGGAATGTACAGTGGAGTAGGTGACTCCCTGAAATACCATGTAAATATGAGAGCAAATCGTGCTGCAGAAGTGAGAGTGACCATACTGTCTTCTGTGCAAGAATGTCTACGCCCACCCCCTTGTGGAGAAGGTTGGGCCAGCCTGCAGTGGAGATAACCACCTTTACGATAATGATGTGAGACAGACCAGAGGACTGCTGTTGTTACTGTAGGAGCTTCTCCTTTCTATGTCATTAGCTTAGGCTGCACGGGCTACTTCATTCATGGTGGGAAAGTTAATTGTTATCATTGGGGAAATACTGCAAATTCTATCTTTTGTTTCCAGGCATTTATACTTTGCCCAGATCAATAAAGCAGAAAAAGAGAGGATTGAGTAGCATTTCCAAAATTGTTAGGTCCTTTGCTATTTGACTTGCTCTTTAATATAGTATACTTTGCATAACTCACATGTTGTCATATTTCACATGTACTATAAGATGTATTAATGTGAATACTTAAGGGGTAAGAAATTTAAGTTAAATAAATAAGGGCATTTTTCCTTTATGCTTCAAAATTGTTTTTGAGGGCTTTTTTTTTTGTTTCGTTTATTATTGTGTATATATAATATGTTTGTTTTTGAGTGTGGACATGTGTGTCATGGTGTGTGTGTATGTGTAGAGCTAAGAGGACAACTTTTGAGGTTGGTTCTTTATTTCCATCCTGGGATTCAGGTACTAAACTCAGGTGGTCAGATTTACCCAGCAAGTGCCCTTATCTTCAGAGCCCTGTTGCTGGCTTCACAATTGTATTTCATACGTTGGCATGAAAGCGCTGCCTGAGTATCCATGCCTCTCAAGCCATACACCAGAATAAACCCTCCTTGTCAGGAATTTGGGCACAGCAATGATAAAAGTAATTAACAAAGAAGGTTGGTACCAAGGACTAGAGCTGTTACTGTGATAAGCCTCATTGTGATGGTTGTAGGCATGGAACTGCTTAGCAGAAGGAATGTGGAAGACAGGGGTGTGATACACAGAGGTTAGTGGGCCATTCTTACGGAGGACCAGCATGCCAATGAAAGGTAGAACGTGAACATGGTGCTCAGATGTTGTCAGAGAGGGGCAAGTACTTTCAGGGGAACTGTGGTAAAAGGTATTTGCTTTTTATTGTGATGAAGAATCTGAGTGTATTCTGCCCATTCCTGAAAATGTAAGTCAGAGTGATTTGCAGTTTGTTTGGCAGAGGCAGTTTCAAAACAGTATTGCATTTAGGCTGAAGCATGTTTACTACTCACTCACTGCTCTTATTCAGATCTATAGCAGGAGAAAGCAGAAAGATTGAAAAATGTGCAGTTTGGGGAAGAACATTTAAAGCTGCCAGCAAGCATAATGTACACAAAGCTTTTATAATTTTTAAGGAAAATAGTTTCAAAAAGTGATATCTCATGTTCTTCACTAAGACAGGATAAAACCTATGGAAGTTTCCAACTAGTTAAATTAAAAATTTATTTGAAAGAAGATGAAATCAAACTTGAGACTGTCAGTGATAGGGTTTTCTGCTGTGAAAACAGACTCCTATAAGAACTATTTCCCAGGTTTAGAAGCCAAGTTGTACAAGGGCTACTTACAGCAGTGATGGGGGGGGGGCAGACAGCATCTCCGTTTGGCAGTTTACCTCCATGTAAAATGCAAGTCACAGGGTCATGGAGGCTTACACCAGAAGCCGCTGACACTGTGTAGCAAGGGGGACTCTGAATGCCATTGTTTGAAGCTGTGAAGGTCAAGTTGCAAAGTAGAATTCTAGACTGTTGGAAATTCCAAATTGTGGGGCATCTGCCAAGGAAAACTGGAGGAGTAGAACCATCCCATGAGAGAGGCTATATATGCTACAGGTGACAAAATTGGAGGGCGTGGAGTTGTCCTTGGTCAAGGAGCCCAGGGGGTGGTACCAGAGGCCACAGATATTGGTTATGGAGCTGTAAGATTTAGTGTTTGCCCTGCTGGTTTTAGGACTTGTGTTGGCCGGATCTTCCCTTGCTGTACCTCATCTTGCTCTGTTGCAATAGGGGTGTTTACTCTGTGCCATTGTAAATTGAGAGTATATAACTTATTTTCTGAAATCATAGAAACGCACAGTTTGCCTTCCACCTCATAGAGTTTTGAACATGTTAGGACAGTTGAAGACTATAGCATCTTTTGAAATCAGACTGAATTCATTTTGCTTTATGAGCCTACGGGAGTCAGAGATGATAATGTAATGGTTTAACAGTGAGTATTTGAGATTCAAGTTGATGAGGAGTGTAGTTACTTGGATGATTAACCTTTATTGTCCACTTGACTGGATTTGTCCGTGGAGGCATTTCCAGAGAGGTTTAACTGAAGAGGGAAGACCCATCCTAACCGTGGGCTGGGTGCTTAGCCTGAGCACCAGCACTCATCTCTCTGTGCTTCCTGACTGCAGATGCAGTGTGACCAGCCACTTCATGTTCTATCACCATGCCTTCCTTGCAACATGGACTCTACCCCTCAAACTGTGAGCCAAAATAAATCTTTCTTCCCTTAAGTTGTTTCTTGTCAAGTGTTTTGTTACAGTGACAAGAAAGATAGCTAATATACTGCCTGTCAGGAAACAGTAATGGATAATTTCAGATGTTTTTATTTGAAACCAAAATATTTCCTTTGGTTTTATTCCTTTTAAATTCCATATGACCTAAATTCTATAGTAAAGGTGTTTTAATTATAATTGAAAACAATATGTAGATTTTGTTACTCTTTAAGTCACAAAGAACTAGTTTCTGTACAACCTGAAAGTTTCAAATGTTTTGTGCCCTATAGTTTTATCTTTCTGCAGATGTTTTGTACCTGTAATTTTACTTCTCTGAAAAAAACAAGGTTTCTCTGTGTAGCCCGGACTGCCCTGGAACTCACTCTGTAGACCAGGCTGGCCTCAAACTCACAGAGATCCACCTGCCTCTGCCTCCCAAGTGCTGGGATCAAAAGTGTACACCACCACCACTCAGCTAGGGTATGTTTTTAAAGAAGTGAAATTTAGGTTTCTATTCCTAAAGATTGAATGAAAGACTGTGAACAGTTTTGTTGTTTTTGGTTTGATTTGGTTTTGGTTTTTCAAGACAGGGTTTCTCTGTATAACTCTGGCTGTCCTGGAACTCACTCTTTTGACCAGGATGGCCTTGAACTCACAGAGATCCACCTGCCTCCCCCTCCTAAATGCTGGGATTAAAGGTGTGTCCCACTAACACCTGCCTCTTGGGATCCTTTTTAACCAGTTTATGAGCAATTAGTTGGGAATGTTGGATAAAATAGAAAGTATTTTTTTCTGCAAATAAAGTTGGGGTTCAAGATATTTTTAGCCAGCTTATGAACAATTAATTGGGAGCGTTGGGTAATATGGAAATATTTTTTCTATAAGTTAGCTGAGAGATAGGTCAGTCAAGCTGGAGATGACTTTCCAATAAGCATTTATGCATTATTAATAAAATTGCAAGAATAAAATCAAAGTTTTGTACATTTTACCTTTTCAACATATGTTCAGATGCATACAGATAAGTCAGTGTAAATAAATGTCACATTAATGCAAGATTCTTTGTATTATATAAAAGGCGAGTAGATGATAAAATGAAGAAATAAATATATGGGATGCTGATAGAATCATCCTTATTCATATTAGTTCATAGGAGTAAATGTGTCCACCTCTATTTCATTTGAATCTTCATATTCTGGCCTTGTTAGTCTACTTGTAGATTGCTTGGATTACTACTATGTCACTATATGTCGGAGAAGAAATGAGGTAGGAAGTATAGACAGCCTTATGTAACTATAGGTGAAGAAGAGGATTGAAGCTTTTATCTAGAGTATCTTAATAACTTGATTATATTTTCTGTGCCACTTGTATGGTAAAATATTTTTAACATAATTGATCCTTTTCATCACAGAAATTTAAATATCTACTTTTTCCTCTTTGGAGGTTGAATTGTATAACATGGGTTGGCATTGTCACTGAGCAGAAGATCTTAATCACCACAAAAGGTTGATTTTGAGACTGGTAAGATGACTTCTGGAATGCAGGGTTTGCTGTGTGGGTGTGGTGTACTGTCAGCTCATGATGTGTGAGAGGGCCTAATGCTTACTGAAGAGGCTGTGGGACTTTCTTTAAAAGCTATATGTAGAAGTGCCTAAAGAAATCCTCATTACCCAGAACTATAGTCAACCCACAGTGAAGGAGAAGCCACACCAGATCAAAGAGACATTTATCTTTGGAGAGCCAGGCTGACATTTTTCACTTAACAGAAAGTCAGAAAAAGTGAATCGTCCATCTTCTCACAAATTGTAACCAAGGTATTATGTCTACTAAATTTTTACCTACATAAATTAATGTCAGAAATTCCAAATTATCCTTAAACTGTTGATTTTAGTTTATGAAAAATAATTAATTTGAAATGTTTGTTATAAAAGAAATTAGGAGTCTAGAAGAAAAAAAAACAAATATTTGTGTAAGTTTAAGTACAAAGTGAGCAACTTCAAAGTTTCATTCCAATAGTGCTAATTTTTTTCTTCGACAAATATTTTAACATTCCCTGTAAATTCCAACATTGCACATAAATTTTTAGTATAATGGAACAACTCATGGTAAACCCATAATTCAAACTTAGAAGACCATAAGAGATGATCATATAATAAATTGTTAGCTGAGTATAAGAAGGCTAAACTTGTGCATTAAAACAGTAACTACTGGGCCTGGAAAAGGTGGCTTTGGCTGTGAAGACCACTTGCTGCCGTTTTGTTCTGACAGCAGTGTCCTTTGCTTTACAGAAGATTTCAGTTCATGAGGTCCCATTTATTGATTGTTGATCTTAGAGCCTGTGCTGTTGGTGTTCTGTTCAGGAAGTTGTCTCCTGTGTCAATGAGGTCAAGGTTCTTCCCCACTTTTTCTTCTAACAGGTTTAGTGTGTCTGGTTTTATATTGAGGTCTTTGATCCATTTAGACTTTAGTTTTGTGCAGGGTGATAAATATGGATCTATATGCATTTTTCTATATGTAGACATCCAGGTAGACGAGCTCACCAAGGACAGTGCATGGAGAGGACCTAAAAGCCTGGCTCAGATGTAGCCCATAGACTCAGTCTCCAAGTGGGGTCCCTAGTCAGGGGAGCAGGGACTCTCTGGCATTAACTCAGTGGCCTGCTCTCCGATGACCTCCCCCTGGGGGTGCAGCCTTGCCAGGCCACAGAGGAAGACAATGCAACCAGTCCTGATGAGACCTGATTGGCTAGGGAGGACCTCCCCTATCAGTGGACTAGGGGAGGGACATAGGGGGGGGAAGAGGGAGGGAAGGTGGGATTGGGAGGAGATGAGGGAGGGGGCCACAGCCGGGATACAAATTGAATAAATTGTAATAAATGATAATAATTATATAAATAAAAGACCACTTGTTGCTCTTCCAGAAAACTCATGTAGAACAGTTTATAACTCCAGCTCCAGGTGATCCAGCACCTTCCTCTGGCCTCCTTAGGCACCTACACACAGGTTCCATCCCTGACCCTTAAATAAAAATAAACATTAAAAAAACTATAGTTTTATTTTTTTGTACTATGGCTCTCGTTGCTATTCTGACATTTAGATCTTTACTGTACATGGTAGTTCAGCTAAATTTAATGATGGCTGTGTAAGGAATTAAGTCACCCCAGCCACATGGTTAACAAGACAGCGCTTCTTTGACCATTTTATAGATATTTCAGAGTATTAGAAAAACAGTTCTTTGGAGTTGTTTTTTTGTATACTCCTCTCAGTGTGAAAAAAGTATAATCCCTTATTTTATTTGTACTAGTTTTATGCTTTGAATTGGTGATACATGTGCTGTTTTTAGAGAAAGTTGTGAAGTAACAGTGTCCCAGGAAGGATAGCCTTAAACTACAAATTTTTTGCCAGGCATAGTGACATACATCTTTATTCCTAGCACCAGGACGTAGAGGGAGGCTGATGGCTTGTGAGTTCCAGGCCAGGCAGGTCCACCCAGCAAATTCTAGGCAAACAGTGCTACATTGTGAGACTAAAAACAAAACAGCAAGTAAACAAAAGCATTTAATTTCAGTAATAGTTTCATAGATATTTTATTTAATATAGCCACATTATTATAACACACCTAATATTTGCTTATCAGGTACAGAACATACCAGGTCATTTTTAGATACACTTTACAATTATCTTGAACATATTTCAGAACGAGCCTCATTTCAGGTTCTTTACTCCTTATAACTAGAACCTATTTTATTGAACAATTGTTTTTCTTGTTCTGGTCATCAAATCCAAAGGCCTGCCATGATCCACATGCTTACAAGCCCATGCCCACTGTATTGACTGGGGTGTTCTGTTGGCTTTTCTATTCTATTATCAACTTACCTCTTTAACAGTGATCTGATGGTTGTGTATCCATGTGTCAAAGAGGAAGACACTAAATCCAACTCTAGCATGTTTATGGAAGTAAATCTTGCAACTCCCATTACACACATTCTTGCTCTGTGCCTTTAATTTAGTAAGTAAAAGACTTAGTGTTCATCGTTTTTAGCTTTCTGCATACAACATTCACTGTTGAGGTGTTTTCAGTGAACTAATTTTGAGAATGCTTTGACTTGGCCTTTTCATCTAATTTTGAAAGTAATGATATTTAGAATTTTAGAGCATACACTTGTAAAAATGAATTTTGTGTATATTCAAGGTTTAAAATAGGTAATCTTTTAACTTGGATGAAATTATAACTTAAAGTTTTAAACTTCTGAAAAGCAACTTAGAGAAAACAACTTGAGTTCTATAGAGTTTACCTTTATTTTGATTAATAACTGAAAAGGCAAAATGAAAGGTTTTACTTTTTAAAAAATATTTATTCATTTTTAGTTTTGTATATGTTTGCCTGCATGTATGCATGTCTACCTTGTGTGTGCCTGGACCCTGTAGAGGTCCGAAGAGGGAGTCAGATGCCCTAAAACTGGAGTTATAGATAGTTGTGGTCTGCCACATAGATGCTTAGCCCTGAAAAGAACAGGTACTCTTTCCCACTGAGCCATTTCTCCAGCCCCTAGAGAGGCCCTTGCAGTTCTGTTAGGTGTTATTGCTGGTGCTTTGCTGTAGTGGCATGTATTTTGCAGTGTTCATCATGAAGTGTGTAGGAAGTGGGTACACTGCCATTTCATGCAAGAACTGCGGATGTAGGAGTAATGGCTGCCAGTCGGTCAGGAAATCATTTTGCCTTGAATATTGTGTGTATTTAGACTTCCTGTGGCTTTATAGCAGTTGACATTCTACAGTTGAATGTGCAGGTTGGAGAATTCAGTTTGATTCTCAAGTAAATTGATTGTCATAATTGATGACTCACTGATGTTCTTGAAGCTGTAACAAATGTGATATTCTGTATAAATGTTGGTGATATTCCTTCATTTAGAGGCTTTCCTTTTTAATATTTAAAAATCATGGAAAGGTTTTGAAATCAATTATATTTTGTACAGGAAAAAAATCTGTATTAAGGAAAGATGAAATGCAATTTATGGGTAAGAAGAACCAGTATTTTAATTGCAGAACTACTTTAAAATTTTAGAGTCTACCCTAAAATCTCCAAGAACTGGAAGTCCACTGAAGCCAAAGAAAAATACTGAAAGAAATACCCTCTGAATGGTATCTAGAGGTTTGTCTACCAGTTTGCCCGACCTGGACTCAGAACCATGGGTAGAAGTGAAAGAGAGGTATCGTTCATCCCCAGTGACATTGAAGGTAACTTTACAAACCCAATCAATGTATGCCTTGGATATAATATATAATTAATGAGTTTTCTATTTGTCATATACGTAGATTTTAAAAGGTCATAAAATTGGAATTAAGGCCTTTTAAAGAAACTTGGGTTACTTTTTGTGAAAAGTAAATTGTATTTCTTTATTAAGATTTATTTTTAATATAATTTGAGAATGCTTTCACTTGATCTTTTCAACTAATACTAATTTTTCCTGTGTGACTAGTTTACAAAAATTGAAATGTTATTTAAATTTAAACTAGTTTTAAAAATTTCCAAATTTTGAAGTTATGTCATTATTTTAAGGCTCTTAAGGCACATGTTAGAGTGAATCAGTGTAAAAAGAAGCAAAAAGCAAATGGTGCATAAAAAGGCATCACATGCTTGTAACGGGGCCAGAGGAATCTACTTTGCATTTTTTGACTGTTGACTGGTGCACAGCTTACTATAAAATGTTGTTACTTCAGCTGAATAACTACTTATTACAAGTAAAATTGAGAAAACTAAGTAAAATTGTAGGCTTATGTGGGTGTAACTTGTCTTGTGATAGTTGCAGTGGTTTCACGGGATGCGTAGTTTGGGGGGAAGTGGGTGAGGGATGGGTGAGATCCACTATTTCTTATGACTATGTAAACACACAGTTGCTGCAGAATACAAAGCTCGCCAAAGTTTAGAATAACTGCTGCTCAGATGTTGAAGGTGAACTCTATAAGGAAAGGTAATCAAATATGGGCTGAACTATGGGAAGAAGAGAATGCTGGGGTTTTAAAGACTTATAAACAAGGTTATCTCTCCTGGATACCAGAGGTACAGGGAGGAAGCTAGGATTTAAAAAGGACCATGTGTGCCCAGGTCAGCAAAAACTTTTTCTTGTAACTGGGAGGATGCTCTGTGCCTAGTCGAAGTCAAGAGTAAGGCTGATGATTCACAGTGCCCTAGGGGCCCCACATGTTCTAAAGTATTACCAAGTCCAATATCAATAGTGCTGAGTTTAAGAAACGCAGGGCAAAACCTTTCATCCCAGCACTCTGAGAAACAGAAGCAGGCAGATCTCTGTGTTTGAGGATAGCCAGGCATGGAAGAAAAAAATAAATAAAATAAAGGAGTCAGGCATGGGGACATGTGCCTCTAATCCCAGCACTTCATGAGTTCAAGGCCAGCCTGGACTACAAAGTGAGTCTATGATAGCCAGGGCTATTTAACTTAGAGAAACTCTGTCTCAAAAAACCAAAAGAAAAATTAAAAAAGAAAGAAATATATATATATATAGATATTTTTTTTTTTTTTAAATTTTGAGACTAAAGATACAAATCAGGTCCTCAAGTATAGTAGGCAAGTGCTCTACCACTGAGCTTCATCCTAGCCCCTGAAACAGACACAGCATATTTTTCTGCATGTAGACATCCAGTTGGACCAGCACTATTTGTTGAAGATGCTATCTTTTTTTCATTGAATGGCTTCTTTGTCAAACATCAAGTATCCATAGGTGTGTGGGTTTATTATGCTCATGGATCCGTAGGATTAACATAGTGAAAAGGACCATTCTGCCAAAAACAATCTACAGATTAAATGCAATTCCTATCAAAATACCAACACAATTCTTTACAGACCTTGAAAGAACAGTTCTCAACTTCATATGGAAAAACAAAAAACCCAGAATCTCCAAAACGATCCTGTACAACAACAAATCATCTGGAGGTATCTCCATCCCTGATCTCAAGCTGTACTACAGAGCAGTAGTAATAAAAACTGCATGGTATTGGCATAGAAACAGAAAGGAGGATCAATGGAACCGCATAGAAGACCCAGAAGTAAACTCACACACCTATAGATTTTTTTATTGTCCCTTCATAATTACTTGTGGATTTTCGTTGGTGGTTCTTAACAGTATTAGTAAATTATAGATTTTGTGCCATGGCTTCTGAGTGCAGCCTGCTCACCCCGGAGTCACTTTGCTGAATGTCAGGTACAGCCCACACTCTTAATTAAATGAAAGTTTCCATAGATTTGGACTTCTGTCCTATAACTTGGCAGAGAACAGACATGCTGACTTTGGATCTCAGCCATTGCAAAAATAAGGAATATTTTCCTGTGAGAGGTACAATTATTACAATTAGTTTCTCGTTTACTGATGAGATTTTTGGTTTGTCCCGCTGCCCTTGCTTTGACTAGTTGAGAACAGATGTTACAGCTTCACATTCTCAGATAAAGGAAAGGAAAGGACTGACTGCTTTGCAGTTGGTTTCCTGATGCTTGCTTTGATAGTGGCCCATTGTCGATTCCTGTTTTGTGTTTTCTGTCTAAAAGTTTTCTAGGATCCTAGTGAGAGCAGTACCTTCTGTCTTCTTTTGCTATAATACTAGCTGGTTCTCAGTTGCTAATTCTTCTTGTGTCAACAGGATAATCACATGTACTTTATGCTTTCTAGAAACTTATAGTTTCTGATCTGACAATTTGATTCATTGTTGATAAGTGAACTTACTTATACATTATTATGTATCATTATTGAACATAAACATGTAGTCAGGTCACATTCCACACAAAATAAAAATGTATTTTTAAAAATTCTCCATTTTTATTTATGGAGGGAGGGTGTGGATATGAGGTCAGAAGAAAATCTGAGGAAGGAAGTCATTCCTCTACTATATGGGTCCTAGGGATTGAACTCAAATCATCAGACTTGGAGGCAAGTGCCTTTACCTCCTGAGTCTTCCTTTTAGCCTCAACTCAAAATCTCTTAGTCATTTCTTACAATATAAAAGATAATTGCATTTGAAAGATAAATTAAAAAGTGAAAATTTTTATCTAGAGTACTATTATTAATAGTTGGTGTTTAATCCTTTAGACATCCCCTCCATCTACTTACATATAGTCTTTAAAATATATTCATATTATTTTTATGTGTATGTGTGCATTGCCTGCCTTTATGTGTGTGTGTTTACCACATGTGTGCAATCAGCAGACACCAGAAAAGGGCATTGTATCCCTTAGAACTTGAGTTAGAGATGGTTATGAGCTACTGAGTGGCTACTGAGAGTCAAACTTGGGTCTTCTGGAAAGAGGACTCAGGCTTGGGAGATTTGGGGTTGATAAAGTGATGAGAACCTGAATTTGGATCTCCAGAACCATGTAAAAAGTTAGGCATGGCGGTGTGTACCTGAACACTAGCTCTGGAGAGATGGATCAGTCTAGTCAGAACCTCAACTTCCAGCTTCCGTGAGAGATTGTCTAGGAATCTAAAGTGGAGGGGATGGAGCCATGGCTCAACAGTTAAAGCACTGGCTACTCTTCCAGAGAATGTCTGACTTTTCAGCACCCACAGAGTTGCCCACAGTCATTTGTAACTCCAGTTCCAGGGGATATGATGCTCTTTTCTGGCCTCTGCAGGCACTGCACACATGTAGTGCATACATAAAGGCAGGAAAAGCACTCACATTCATAGAAAATAAACAAAAAGAACAATCTGAAGAATCTGTTTGCATTCAGGAACGTGAGCAATTGCTGACCAAAACATGCACATGTACACAATATGCTCATATATGGTATACAACATGCATACACACACACACACACACACACACATATGCTGCATCTTATAGAGTCTATCCACAGATAGACAGCCTTATGTAGAACAGTGCCCGTCTCACATTGTCAACTGACTGACTATAAAGTTACAGGTCTAAAAATTCTGAAAGAAACGGATTACTTTGTTCTAGATTGAGTTATTTGGTTTATTGGTGACTAATGTCCTTTGCCTTGCAGAGCTTTTCGATTTCATGAGGTCCCATTTATTTAATTGTTGATCTTAGTACCTGAGCTGTTGATGTTCTGTTCAGGAAGTTATTTCCAGTACCAGTGAGTTCAAGGCTATGTCCCCCCCTTTTTTTAGATTTAGTGTATATTTTATGTTGAGGTCTTTGAGGTCTTTGATCCACTTGGACTTGAGTTGTGTAGGGTGATAAATATGGATGTTTGCATTCTTCTACATGAAGACATCCAGTTAGACCAGCATCATTTGTTGAAAATGCTTTCTTTTTTCTATTGTATGGTTATGACTCCTTTTTTAGAAATCAAGTGTCCATAAGTGTGTGGATTTATTTCTGAGTCTTCATTTTTATTCCATTGATCAACCAGTGCATTTTTATGCCAATACAATGCAGTTTTTATTACATTTGCTCTGTAGTACAGTTTGAAATCAGGGATTTCAACCTCCAAAATATTGTACAGGATTGTTTTAGCTATCCTTTTTTTTTTTTTTTTTTTGTTAATTGTAAAATTGCAGATTTTATTCATTTATTCACTTTACATCCTGATTGAAGCTCCCTCCTCTTCTCCCAGTTCCCCCTGCCTCCCACACCTTTTCCTCCAATCCTCTCCTCGCCTTCTTTTCAAGAAGGGGAAATCCCCCATGGTACCAACCCACCCTGGCACATTAAGTTGCTGCAGAACTAGGCGTATCCTCTCCTACTGAGGCCAGACAAGGCAGCCCAGTTAGTGGAAGGGGATCCAAAGGGAGACATCAGAGTTAGAGAGGGCCCAGCTCAAGTTGTTGGGGGATCCACATGAAGACCAAGCTGCATATCTATTACATATGTGCAGGGGGCCTACGACCAGCCCATGCTAGCTCTTTGGTTGGTGGTTCAGTCTCTGTGAGCCCCCATGGCCCAGGATAGTTTATTCTGTAGGTCTTCTTGTGGAGTCCTTCACCCCTCCGGCTCCCTCAATCATTCCCCAGCTCCTCCATGTGACTCTAGGAGCTTTGTCTAATGTTTAGCTGTGGGTCTCTGCATCTGTTTCCATCAGTAATTAGGTGAAGCCTCTCAGAGGAGTTATGCTAGGATCCTGTCTGTAAGCATGGCAGAAGAACAACATTGATAGTGTCAGGGATTGGAATGAGTCTCCAGTAGGACCCGTCTTTGGTTGGCCACTGAAAACACTTCTTAACTGTCCCGCTCAAGTTCTCTTACCCAGTGAAGCCTCAAGC